CCCCTAATTTGGGCCCATACATAAATTCAGTAATCGACTAAATTTTCAATAGCTTGAGCTTGAGCTTGATTGACCGCCCACGGTTGCTACTCTGTTACTGCCAGATCAGCTGTAATTACACAGAGAACCAATAGACGATGCTTGGGACTAGCAATCATCCTCAATGTGTAAAAACTGGTGATCTTAAATTAGGCAATACCAGCGCCGGCTGCGCCCGAACACAGGTCAAGAAAGGAATGGGAAGGATTGTGTTGACATGACACTCGCTTTGATGGAAGCCGAGAACACCTCTGCACTTCCACGAGGAATCACTGGGATGTTGGATAAGAGGGTTGGGTTTGCAGCAGGGTTCGTTTTGGTAAACGATAAGCTGAATTGATGTCCTAACGATCATATAACGCGAAGGAGCTTGGGACTAAACCCACGGTCTTCTGCTCAGTAAGCAAAAACGTTTGCCACTAGGCAGACGAGCACCTTTTTAATCACCGAGTTGCTGTTATTACCATGTAGTCATATTAACAAATAAAACGATTGACGAATCTTGAATGTGGATGGGCCTGAGATTAGACTCATGATGTTCTGCTCAGTAAGCAAAAACGGTTGCTCTAAGGCCACCGAGCCCCTCATATCACATAATACCGTTGCTCAAATTTGTGTATCCATTCAAACCCGGAACCAACGACAACAACGAGTTTCGCAAAATACACGATACACAAGCGATTTTACCATAAATCTCTTTGATATGTAAGGACCTGGGACAGCGTTTTTCTGCTCAGTAAGCAGGCCACTGTAACCGACGATCTTTCAAATCCGATAACTAAAAACTACGAAAAAGTACTTATGCCTTCATTAAGTTCCACTTTCACGCAACGTTCAATGACAGGGTCCTATCCAGGATTACATCTGAAAAATCCAAATCTGGCCAACACCCACCTAAACCTGTTCTAATCCACCTGAAATGACTAACGAATGGAAGACTTTGACTACCCAGCCATGCAATAGTCTCATTCCGTGCCTTATGGCAACTTGATGATTCTATTGCGCTCATCTTTTGGCACCACCCAGGGGAGACTTGGTCCTGTACCCAATGCTTAACTTATCTCCATTCCACTCAGCTACTCGCAATTTCTTGTGATATAGTGGGCGGAATATTATTATATGAGACAATTCAATGCAGACGTCTTTCCAAATTTGGCACATCGACAGGTAATCGGTGAGTTACCACGATAGTTGCTATTCAACAACTCGACAACGTCCCATCGTCAACGCCTGCTATGAGAATTTCCCATTGCATACGTCTACGAAATGACGTCATCGAGCTATCGATCAACTACCCTGGTTATCGCCTGGTACCTTATAGCACGATGCTAGGAGGCGAACCGGAAGAATCGATGAGCTACCTCTCCCCCAATCGACTAAATTTTCAATAGCGGTCAAAAATATCCATTAGTACCGTCCCAATGACGCGTTCATCTAGATAAAATAGATAAACAGCAGATTTTTAGCGATGGGTCCAATCTAAGGTCTATATGGTCATCTATATGGGCCAACATTAGATCCATTTCTCCTATTTAAGTTTTTCTTATAATAAAAGCTGCTAATGTTGTACTTGTTGTACTGTTGAACTGATCAGAAATGGTTTAATTTACACAAAATTGAGGAATTAGAACGAAATAACACATTGTCATATGATGATTATTTTACATTATTCGCTTTGCTCGAATGTTGTTGTACCATTTGTGTTGTGTGAGAAAGACGACGGTAGAACATGCCTGTACGAATACAAACAGGCTGTCGCGCATGATAACGAAGCGAGTGCACGCTAACTTGAAAGTACCCATTAATGGTTGAAAAAGACCCATTTTGAAGAAAAGTGGCTTAACTCACTAAATGAGTAAATTTTTTACCCATTAATGAGTATCTGTTACCCATTAATGAGTAATTGTTAATCATTAATGGGTAACAGATACTCATTAATGGGTAAAATTGTTTAATCATTAATGAGTTAAGCCACTTTTCTTCAAAATGGGTATTTTTTTACTCATTAATGAGTACTTTCAAGTTAGCGTGTGTAGTAAAATACGTCAACTGTTTCAACCCCTGGTCTTGCTCATATCCTGTTCGCCCAGGGGTGGTCACTCTACACACTTATTTAGCACCAATTTTTTTTCATTGTGCCTCAAGTAAGCCGCGCTGTGCTGGCAATGCTTACAGTGCCAGTCATCGAACTGACTGGGTTTGAGAAAAATAACATATTTGGAGACCCGGTATTTTGACAGCTTGAATGTTTTGTTTTTCTTGCCGAGAAAATAATAGACCGGGAGAATGCAATCCTAGGAACGAAACTTTAGCTGCGCGATGTATTTGCCTAGGAATATGACAAGATTTGCGAAACGTACAACCATAGAGGTAGCTCTAAGATTAGAAGGTCCCGAATAAACGTGCTCAACTTTTTGGCTCAGCTCTGGTACTATCTTCGGTCCCAAGCTAATCGATTCACCCCTCGAAACATAGGAAAATCCAACAACCCCTTCTTTTTGTCTGTCAAACTTTCATAGCGAATCAAAACAAACATAGAGTAGTACTAGAATTTTGACTAGAATGGAGTACGTTAATCGATTTGCTTGGGACCAATAGGCTAGTCAAGTAGTGAGCTAATTTAAAATCGTTAGTTTCCACCGGTTGGTATCATGACGACTAGCTCCAGCCAGATGGTATTTCTGACTGCTAAAATGCTTGGGCATTGCCTTCCGGACATAAGTCCACACTAAGCTGCTCTCTAGATAAATAACAGATTGAGCCCAAACGATGGGAAATGTGGTCGGGTTTAACTCTGGGTTACGATTGTGATCACGGAGCAGGAGGGTATCATGCGTCCGGAAGGCATGAGATTTTTACCGAAAATTAGAGCGATTAGATTTCTTGGAGGAACACAATTGGTGAATATGGGATTGATTGAGTGGGGTGATGTTTTGCATGAAATGTTGACCATTCTTAGCACAGTAGTGAGTCCTCTAATTTGGTATGTGCAATAATCAGAATGTGTGAGCTGTCTTTTGAGGAATCCATGGTGGGACAAGCGAAAATTAACGGTTTTTACGGTTTCCAAAAATTTGATTGTGGCAACAACAATGATTGAATCAAATTTTGACACATGCACACTGCGCAGGCGCAGTAATAGTGCAATGTTGCCGGACACTTTAAATAACACAACAAATCTTAATCATGGGTGCCAAACAGTGGCACACTGTGCGGAGTGACCATCCCCATCTGCACCATATTCCTTCAACAGCGTTGTTTATTTTTCTGTCATGAGTCAATTCAAAAACAAGATCAATGGCAATCAAAATGAGTGCCTGGCCACATTGGGGGAGTGCCCAATGGGGTTAGTTAGATAGTTTTCTTTATAAAAGAAGCTTTCAGTGCCAAGCTTTCAGAAGCCAATGACAAAAAATTGTAAGATCGGCTTTTGAGCAACGACTGCAGTGAATTGGACGCAACAAGTGACAACCAAAGGTATAATGGTCCCACGTTGTGTAAGGTGAGGTGACACGCTCCGTGTAAATCAAATGGAGAGGTCACTCACTCGAGATGGCACCATCACTTCCCTGTCACCTTACCTCCGACGCCGCGCAAAATAGGCCTAATTTCCCGGTGAATACTGGTTATTAGATTCAAACCGACCGGAAACGTGCCAAACCCAACATGTTACGCAAAATATTACATGAAAATTCAAAATCAATGGAAGTAGACATGACTAGTGTTGAAAGTGGTCACCGTAGACGACGCATTTTCGGTGATATTCGGCTGCCTTTGCATCCGACACTTGCAAAACAAGCTATAAGTACAGTATCAAACTAAAATTTCATATGACAGTCTCTTTCATACGACAGTGTCGCCGAGGACCGTCACGATTTTGATAATTTTGGTTTTGCTCGAATGTTGTACGAGTGTACGAATAAAAACAGACTGTCGTGCACAACAACGAAGCGAGTGGAGTAAAAAACGTCAATCGTTTCAACCCCTGGACATGAGTGCCCTAGACCACATTTACGGGGAGTGGCCAATGCAACAGAAAAAAAAAGAAAGGTAATATCAAGAGTGAATTTTCAAATAGCCGTCTCTCCTCTTGTAAACAAAAAAGGTTCAAACGTCGAAACTTGACGTAATTCGTCTACATTGTATGAAGATGTCGCCAGTAGGATCGACACCGATTATGAAGGTACCTGAAATTTATGTTAAAAAACTACTTTCACGAAAACTATACAACTGTGCAATGCATTTATTACACTCCAACTTACACAAATTTACCACCGTTCGGTCCGGCAAATACCAATTCGTATCCGCTGAAATTTGCGAAAAAGTTGCGAACGATCAAAAATGCCATTTATGTTCACATCAATCTATCTAAACCTAATTCGCTCGCAATTTCTCGCAAAAAAAAAAAAAAACAACAAGCAATCAATGACGCTTCCACACCGGATCATTTTACAGTGATTTCCATCTCGTCTCTTCGATTTAGGTGTTGCTTTCTTTTCTGGTCGACACACTTTCGTTTCAGTGTTTCTTTTTTGTTAAGTAAGATAGGTTGAGAAACAAAAATACGGAAAAAAAATTGTACACTACCTCGAGATCTACAAAATACGTCTAAATTGTTAAAGTTTGTTGAAAGTGAACTGTCGTTTATATCGGTTGCGAAAACTGAAAATCGGGAACCACTTCCGAAGCAAAATAAAAAGTATGAACGCTTTTAATACGAGAAGTTTAAAGGAATCGCATCGTTTTTTTTCCTTTCTTTAGAACGACAAGTTCGGCGTTAAAAGTCGTTCACTCTTCATGGTCTTACTTTCCTTCAATGGGGGTGTAAATACTAGGCAATAGGAGAAGATACTGTGTATAGCCTCTAAGATGATATATTATATATACTTCTAAAGAAATTCGCCTAAAAAGCCTATAAAAACAGATTAAAAAAAGAACTACTACTAATAAACACGAGCTAGCCAATCATTTTTCAAGAAGATATGAGAAACGTCCTTTCCGGTTTCCGGGTGCTTTTACTGTGCGTCGCCACCTTCCGGTGCAGACATTCCAGTTTTCTCGCGAATCCAATCGGCAAACTCCGTCACTCGAGCGAAGGCAACTGGCAGTTTCTTCTCGCAGCCGATCACGTGGCCAAAACTGACCACACCGATCAGGGTCTTGTCGTCATCCAAAACCAACGGTCCACCGGAGTCTCCATTGCACGTAGATTGCTGATCACCGCGGCAGCACAAAGTGGTTGGCTGAATCGAACTCGGGTAGACCAATCTGCATTCGTTGTTGCGAATTACTTGAATCGTAGCGTACTGCAGCCGCTGAGCTACACCGCCCATATCCCTCGTCTTACCCCAGCCGCTAACCGTGGCCATTTTTCGGTTGTAGTCGTCGTGTCCCGTGGGAAGCTGAACCGCTTGGATGCGATTGCTAAACTGCACTCTTTGCGGAAGTTTAATGACGGCGATGTCATTGGAGGCATCCTGCCCATTGTAGTCTTCATGCTGGATATACTCGGTAGAATTCATCACCACCCGTCCGTCGTCTTCTGTGCTCTTGAGGTTGATGGTCCCCATGGTGATTTCGAACGAGGAAGCGTCCTGCACACAATGGCCAGCCGTTAGGATCCATTCTTCGTTGAGGACACTTCCACCGCACAGAGCTCGACCGTTTGGAGTATCGATCTTCAACAGCGCTTGATACGGAAACTGTCCAAGTTCCGCGTCCTTTCCATTGATGATACGGGACTCCTCCGATGGGGCAGACCTCACCGAAACACCCAGAGCCAGTAAAGAAATTACCCAGGTAATCATGACTTTTCGCCTTAGAATGCAGTACCGAACTGAGACTCCACAACCGTGAGTGTTGGGTTAATAACGCCTGGTAATTAGTTCAACTGAACAGTAACCAGTCATTTGCATATGACATGAATTATGCTGCATAAAAACGTGTGTTCAGTGTCATAATTGAATCGCTATCGGAAGCTTCACGCACTAGACCCGTTTCGGGAGGTGCACTATCGTTTCCTACGCCACGCCAGGGGACGACGAAGACTTGATAACACGGTGATTGTGCCAATTTTATGGTGACATTCGTTTTCTGCCAATCCATTGAAGCGGCCGACGCGATTAAGAATGAACAGCGGTGCTGCTCAAGGTAGTTGAATTTGAAGCTTACAGAAGGCGTATTCTCTGAACTTTGAAGAGGTTAGGTTAGGTTTCTTTATTAACTTTGAAGAGGGTTGTTTGATTAGTTGATTGCATATTCCCTTTTAGTTGAACTTGGTGATGGTGATGCTAATGGTCTGCCTTCTCATCCTTTGACCCCGGTAATTACAAAGCTCTTGATACGAGTTAAGAATAAGCTTTGGTTTTCGCATTAACTACTTATAGGTGCGTTTTTTATTTTCTTAAAGTTTTAGTTGAATTCTAGTAAGGTGAACGGGGTAAGATGGCCACTAGACTGATGCAATAAAAAATTAAGTCAATAAATTAATTATAAAGGTGACATAAAATAAAAACAAAATTTCCATTATATATAAAAATGTGTTAACCTTACTCCACAATGCTTAAAAGGTCGCAAGTCGGGTCCTGAGTAGCATCTCAAAATTTAAACTTGTTTGGTTAGAAACTGACTGTACACAATCAATTTGAAGTTTGTATGAGAATTACTATGAAAAATCTAAACTTTTTGTTCATTGCCATCTACACTATTTCTATATTGCTCTTAGAGAAAGTTTAATAGTTTTTATTGCAGGGAATTTTTAAAGCTACAACTTTGCGGAAGGTAGCTTTTTAGTGAAACGACAAATGAAGTAGTTATTAATAATTCAAGGGGTTAATAATCTTATTACATGATCAAGTAGCTGCTTTATGGGTGGGCAACACTGTATTGTGCAGTGTGACATAGTGTAGCCACCATGATTTTTGTGTTCTATTTCACGGGTCAGAAACATCACTGCTGAGCAGTTGATTTAGCATGAACATAAGACATAAGTGTCTTGTACCATTGATAATTTTTGCTCCTTGAAGGCCACCCACAATGGAAACGTTTGCGTTCCTTTGACGTGAATTTGAAATACAACTCATGAGTTAACTGTCAAATCCACGCAAACGCAATGTATCCATTGTGGGTGGCCCTTAACATTTGATCAAAAAGTGGTAGTTAGTAAAATTGTGGCTGAAATAATTTCATACAACCTCAGCTATCAACACTTGTTATAAACTATTATAATTAATGGATAGGAAGGGGCTTACTCCGTTAAACATAATGCCGTTTGGCATACAGTCGTTTGGCATAATAGTCGTTAGACATAACAGGCGTTGGATATAATTGTCGTTTGACATAATGTCGTGGAAAGTGTTACTATAATATTGTATAACATTTTACCTCTATTTGCCATCTTAAAAGATATTAATATCGCTTTATTTGTTTTAATCATTAAGACAAACGGTGGTATCACATTTATCGGGATGCCGTTTCCCGAAGTGATATTTATCGCAATAATACATTTCCTGGAATGATACGTTTCCCGGAATTATGAATGGGCCATTCATCGGAGTACAATTTATTATTTTTAGTAAAATATTTAAAGATGAAAATACAGTGCTTCCCCGATTTTGTCAGCTTTTTTTTTTCCCAATTGTGTCAGCCTGAAGATTTTGCTGAACTTTTTGGTTTTTAAGCATGTATTGTCAAGCATTTTGCTCCAAATAGCATAGCATAAATCAGGTTGCACAATGTAGTACACACTTAGTTTTTTCTACCGAGCTCGGCTGTCCAAATCTCGGCAAAAATAAGTTTCACTGAGATCTCAGCAAAAGTGACATTTGATTGCTGAGTCTCGGATAATGCTTTGCTGAATCTCAGCAAACAATTGAAATGTTTGCTGAGATCTCAGTAAAACTTTTTTTTTGACGGGATTTGCACAGCCGAGCTCAGTAGAAAAAACTAAGTGTGTAGGTGGTACGAGCTCCAAACTGTTGTTAAGAAGGAGACCCACCTTCGTCCGTTGCTGTTAGATAGTAATTTGTGATTAATTACTACCTCTTAGATAAAGGATATGTCTCCCTCCAACAGACCAGAGCTGTCCTGGCCACGTCCTTGCATCTGGTGGGGAAAGGGGAGGAATGTTAGTCCGACACTTACTTAAGAGAGATGCAGAGAACTCTACGACCCCTCATAAGTGTCACGGGAAGGGTGTATTTTTGTTAGTAGGGAGGGTAAGCCATAGGATACGCCCAGCCGGCGTTGCTGGCAATCGTTGTATCAAGCATTTAATAACTGAAAGCTGTTAGTAGTTTATCTGTCCGTTACCTAATCATATTATTCAAAACAGTCTTCAGATTTTGGAATTAAGAAACGTTATCAGCTCGATCATGTTGCTTTTTTTTGACTTTAAATGATATATATTTCTTGAATGTGTGTGGTTTACATGTATAACTTATCAAGTGACACAGATGCGTCTTTTCAACTTTAGTTCCTTTGAAATTTCAATTATTATTAATTACAGTTCCTAGTCCTATCAGGCCTGTTTTAGAGAATTACCACCTTGGTGTTTTAAATTTGAAAAAGGAGACTACTTATAACTACTATTTACAACTATAACTAACCTACAACTACTATATACACCTAATCTACTATATACAAATTGCTTATCAAAACATGTTCTGATAAATTACATTTTTGTGCAAATTTAGTCTTAATTTCGTTAATTCTGGAATCTATTTTGGCAATGCCTGCCTGTTCATATAAATTTGTTATTCTAGTGTCGAAAGGACGATCAAGAACCATCCTCAGCACTCTATTCTGAGCGACTTGGATTTTGTTTCTGTAAGTCTGTGCACATGATTCTCACACCGGAGCTGCGTAAAGGATCGCAGGTGCTATGATTTGTTTGCAGACGGCCAGTTTGTTCACCCTTGAGAGGCGGGACACAGCGGTTACAGACACCTAACCAAGGCAGAATACTTAACTACAGTTTTCTCTACATGCGCACGGAAGAGGAGCTTTTCATCGAACAACATCCCGAGATAGGTTACTTCGGCAGACCACTCAACCCTTGTGCCATCCATGATTACAGTACAAGATGGAGCCGGTTTCAGTTTGGGCGATTGTCGATGGAGGAACATGATCGCTTGTGTTTTGGAGGCATTGATTTTAATTTTCCACGTGGTGGCATACCCGAGCAAAGTTAGAGATCAAATTGAAATCAGAATTTGCTGTTATGATGTAACTTACTTTGAATACTCCATTTGATCTCATTTTGGTTGACTTAACGGTTAACACATCAAAAATGAGAGCAAAATTTTACACTGTTGAATCAAACGGAAAACTAATCCTGCTTTCAATGAAATCAATTTGATTACTGATTTTGCATTCATAATGTTTGACTGAATACGGGCCTGGTGTAAATGGTTAGCATCCAAGCTTCTCACGCTGAAAGACTTGAGCTCAAATGTCACCTCGGGTTGGTTGCGAATGACCTAAAATGTGTTAAACAAAACAATTAAATAATAATCGTTAGTTCAACGACAGATAAGCTTAACTTAAATCTTAAACAAGACGTTAACAGCAGAACTTCAAGTTAAGTTGCTTTCATTTAAAATGTCTTGACTGCATAATGAAAGCACAATATGATATCAGACTAATGTCGTGACAATTGAAATCAAAATGAGTATTCATTATGATAGGAACTGCAATCTTTAATATCGATTTGCTTTCATTTTGTTAACCGACTTTGCTCGGGTAATCAGCAAAGGCGTTAAGACATCGTTGAAGTTTGTTCGTTATTTCGCGAGGCATCCTTCTTTGACGGCTATTGCGGTATCATCTGCGAACAGGAAAAACACGCAACCGTCTCCAAGGGGAGGAATGTCGGAAGTGTAGATGCTGTAAAGCAAGGGGCCCAGCAGACTGCCTTGCGGGACTCCTGCTGGGATGGAAAACGTGTCTGAAAGACAACCATTCAACGATACCTTAAACGACCTTTGCTGGAGGTAGTTACGGGTGATTTTAACCAGATGTAATGGAAAGTTGAAGTTACAAAGCTTGTATACAAGCCCATTGTGCCAGACATTATCAAACGCTTTCCCAACGTCTAACAAGGCCATGGCTGTGGACTTGGATACAGCTTTGTTACTTCGGATGTTATTCATCACCCGCACTAGCTGGTGATTGGTGGAGTGCCCCTTTCTGAACCCAAACTGTTCCGGAAGGAGAATGTTATTTTCCTCGACAAACTTGAGCAAACGATTGAGAATGAGTTTCTCGAACAATTTGTTCAGCGCTGAAAGGAGGCTGATTGGTCTGTAGCTTGAAGGAAATGTCGGATCCTTTCCGGGTTTGCGGATTGGTATGATTTTTGCTACTTTCCAGATGCTTGGAAAGTAGTGCAGTTCCAAACATCTGTTGAACATAGCGGTTAGAAGAGACTGCACTTTCATGCTGAGTCTCTTCAAGATCAAGTTGAATATACCGTCAAACCCGGGAGCCTTCATGTTCTTGGTGCATTTCAGCGCTGAGCAAATCTGTTGTACTGTAATCATATCCGCCGGAGGCACGACACAAGGGGAGGCATCTAGGTTTTGAACGCATTGCGCAACCTGATCTTCGAGCGGACTTTGGATATTCGAGCCAAGCAAATGCGAAAAAGCGACATCGCATTTGCTTTCTCCTGTGGGGTGATTAAAAGCCGATCGTCGTCATTTTTGACTTTGAGAGGTGGAATGGGTTTGGGATGAGTTTTCAGGACCTTGGCTACCTTCCAGAATGGTCTGGAGCGGTCGTCCAGATTCTGGACAACACGCCCGAAACTTCCATTTCGGAG